TGAGTAATATTCCATTGTGTATATGTACAAAAATATGGAACGCTTCACGAATTTGCGTGTCATCCTTGCGCAGGGGCCATGCTAATCTTCTCTGTATCTTTCCAATTTTAGTAATGTGCTGCCGAAACGAGCACTCCATTAGTTCTTTATAAAATTTTTTAATTTTAATAATTAAGGTCTTGTTTACTTCTTAAGTAAGATATAAAATGGCAAATATACATGTAAAAAGATGCTTTGCAATGTATGTCATCAGGGAAATATAAATTAAAATGATGAAATATCACTACATGCCTAATAGCCAAAATTTTGAACACACTGATAAAACCAAATGTTGATGAGGAAGAAAATCAGCAGAAGCTCTCATGTATTGCTAGTGGGAGTGAAAATTGGAAGGCAATTTGATGGTTTCCTACAAAACTAAATTCTTAACTGTGGAACTAAGCATTTGTGCTCCTTGGTATTTACCCAAATGAGCTGAAAACTTATGTCCATACAAAACCCTCCTCATGGATATTGATAGTGATTTAATTCAGAATTGCCAAAACTTGGAAGCAATCAAGGTATCTTTTAGAATGGCATAAAATGTGGCATATCCAGGTGATATGGAGTATTATTAAAAAAAAAAAAAAAAGTAACCTAGCCTATGAAAAGACTTGGAAGGACCTGAAATGCATATTAATAAGTAAAATAAACTAACCTAAAAAGGCTACAAATATAATAATACAACTGTGTCATATTCTGGAAAAGGCAGGACTATGGATACATGAAAGATAAGTGATTGCCAGTTAATTGGGAAGTGAAGGGGAAGAAAAGGGTTGAATAGGCAGAGCACAGAGAATTTTTAGGGCAGTGAAATACAATGTAGGATATTATAATGTGGATAATGTCTTATACATTTGGCCAAGGCTTCAGTATATTTATTATCAAGACTTAACCATGAAGTAAGCAAACCATGATGGGCTTTGAGTGATTATGTATCAGTGCTGGGTTTATCTTTGGTAAGAATATAACCATTCCTGTGAGTGATGTTGACTGTGGGATCAGCTATGCTTCTAGGGTGGAGGTGTAGTGAGGGACTGGGGGTATATGGGAAATTTCTGTAATGCCTCAATTTTGTTGAAGAACTAAAACATTTCTAAAAATAAATCTTAAAAAATGAAGAAAATACCAGAGAGATTGAAGGGTTAATCTCTGCTTACAGATTACTAAAGCCATGAGACATACTAACTAAAATATACACATACAGTGTATGGAAATATATACAGAGAGGAGTTTACCCAGTAATTACTCAGGCTTTTAGATCCTTAGATGGTAAAATAATATTTGTTTACAAGTAACTTATTTAAATACTTTTTTCTTTAAACTTACAGATGATACAGCATTGTTTGAGTTGATTCAACTAGTTCCACCAGGTACTGTATAATCTTTTGATAAAGTAATTGACCTATGAACTCCCTTCAGAGAGGACCCTTTTTAAAAGTCTTGACTCTTCCCCTTCTCCCCAAATTAAGAACAATGGCGAGTTTCTAGTATTGGTTCACTACATGTAAAAACTCAATAATATATAAATAATATATACAGAAAGATGGACCTAAATGGTATTTGAACACATTATTTTACAATTGAATAAATAGTTGAAATAAAAAAGAAAAATGGAAAACAAGCTACCTTCCTAGCCTATTTTGTGACATTCATAGATTGCCTTTTTTACATCTTTGTGATTTTTCTAAAACTGTGCTTTTGGTGATAGTTTTCTTTGTTTTGTGTGCTGCCTGCTATTGGGCATGGATGAGAATAAAGCCTCAATTGTCAGCAACATCAAAAATCCCCAAGACAGGGAGAGTTTAGCTATGGAGAATAGTTTAATTTCTGTTATTGATTTTTATGGTGATAGAAGACATCTCTTTTAATCAGTGAAAAATGGAGAGCTGTATTTTATGCAAAATAAGTCATCTAAAAGCATTTTAATATGATACCTACCTATTAATTGAGGTAACCACAAATTCTAGAAATGTCTACATATTTTGTAGCATGTAACCTAGTATCTTGTAATGACAGGTGGAGAAGAATGGAAGATGATAATTGAGGTTTAGATGTGTAACTGTCACACTTACTTGAAAGGATGAGTTTTTTCCTTGGTCGATATGAATATCCCTTGTATAAAAGAGGGCGGAACTTGTGGCATAAATTACATTTCTTAATAATGAAATGTGCTAATCCATTTAACATACCTTTAATTTTTCTTTTATAGAAAAAAAAAAAACACAAAAAATAAACATGACCCTGAAGCAGGTATTTTCAGTAAGATGTCTGGCATACCTGCAGTTACTTGATGATTTTATTCCCAAATAGAATTTTTTGTTTTAATTTGAATCAGGCTATCTTTCTTGTAGTGGGTGAAACACTGTCTACATATGATGAAAATACACGAGATTTCATGTTCCCGGGTCCAAACCAAATTTCTGGACACCATGATTCAAACCGCCAGGTTACCATGAGGAGGATTTCTGGCCTTCGAGTAAGTGCTTTCTGTTTTCTGAACCAATCTGTCATCCAGGATAATTGTCAGAAACCACATAGCTCTCAATACCTGAAATAAGAACATTGTTTAATATGGTTTAAAATTAAAATGTTGTATGTAGTTATGACCTTCAACTTACTGAAATCTAAGGGAACTAATTTAACAAAACCCATGTATCTGCCATCTCAAACCAGCAAGTATCATTTCACCTTGTATTCTTCAGATGTCTCTCCTCTCCTCCTTCCTCAACCCTACTGTACCAATCTGTTTTCCCCAAAAAGGCTCAGATTCTTTGGAAACATCCTGTATTTCAAGCTGAAGTTGTAAAAGGATGAAACTTGTTTGCATGTAAAAGGAACATTAAGTCATTTGTTTTCAGGAGGTGGATTGCACTGCTTTTAAAACAAGTCCACACATGTTTTGATACAGCTTTGCTAAAATCGTATCCTAACTCCTCCATTGTTCCAGTGAGGCTTGGACTTAGTGACTAATAAATAGAAGGTGATAGTAGTGACAGGGTTAGATTTCTAAGGCTGCTTCATCAGTTGGATGTGGCTTCCCCCTTTCTTGTCTTGCTGTTGGATCACCCTTTGGAGAGCTAGCTACCACGCCATGAGGACTCTCATGCCGCTCTGTAGAGAGGTTATGGACGAGAGCCCAGTCTTCTGGCTAAAAGTTAGAAAAGAACAGACAGCTTTAGGAATGAGCCTTCTTAGGAAGGTGATCTATGGCCCCCTTGAGCCTTCAGCTGTCTGCAGTCCAAACAACATCCTGACTGCAGTCTCATGAGAGGTTCTCAATCTAGAACTCCAGTTCATTTTCTGCCAGATTCATGATCTATGGAAACTAGGTGAAATAAGAAATGTTTACTGAGGTTTGAACTGTCTAGTCATCAGCTAAGCAACAGATTACTAAAGTAAGTATGCTGAACATCATTAATAAAAGATGTGCTTGTAGAAAAAGCAATCATTCAATTAATTCTTAGACAACTAAGATTTTTTTCTGTTTTGTGTGATGTTTGAAACTTTAAAGGTCAAAGTTCATAGGGGCAAATGTCTTCCTTCCACTATATTAGACTGAACTTGCACTGTGTACAAACTGTATCTTCTAATGTTCTGGTGGATAAACTATGTATTATACAAGTACTTTCAAATGTTTTCTGAAGTGCTTTGTTTCTGTTCCTTTGTATTTTACCCTTGCCTTCACTTATCTCAAAACTGTGTTCAAGCTGATCATTGAAATCTGTTGCAAGAAATAAAAGCCAGATTCATTCGTAAATCTGAATATAAGCTAAATTGTGGGGAAAGTGTAAAAACTGTTAAAGATTTTTTCCTGTTTTCATGAACTGCATACCCAGCAGCTATGTTTTTTTGTTTTTGTTTTTTATTAATATGAGGAGACTATCCAATGTATTTCTTGTAGTTACAATATAACATTGTGATTCATTAGAAATACACTTTTGGCCATTCAGATGACCAAAATATTTTTTCTACTAGGTATTCAGCCATGATTTCTGGTTCACAAGTCTCAAAACCCTTGGGACTTCCAGAGCAATAGGTCAGAGCAATGGGTGCATCTTTTGTTCCAGTATTTACATCCTTAGTTCCTGAAATCACTTGGGAGACATAAAGCCCCTTTTTGCCATAATTTGGTTTATGTTAATGAGGTGATTTTTGGACTGCACCTAAATATTGGGACTGGTTGTCAGGGGAACCAAACAAGAATAGAAGTTTGGAACTTTCAGCCCTCTTCCCCGATTTCTGCAGTTGAATCAGTCATTAACTACTGATGATTTCATCATTCATATATCCTGAAGCCTCCATAAAATCCCAAAGGACTGGGTTGGAGAGGTCCTGGCTGGTGATCTCATGGAAATCTGGGGAGAGGGGATGGGAGCTCTGTGCCCTTTCCCCATGCCTTGCCCTCTGCATCTTTTCCATCAGACTACTCCTGATTTATGTTTTTATAATTAACTGATGATTAGGAAGTAAAATAGCTCCCCGAGTTCTGCATCCGAACCTAGCAGATTAATACGACCAGCAAAAAGGTTGTCTTTACCAACAACCAATCTGTTGCCACTTGGAACTTCTGAGTGACATCTGAAGCCGGGAGAGGGTAGCTTTATAGAATGCAATTCTAGGATCTGATATTATCTCCAGGTAGGTAGATTGAGTTGAATGATACAATTCAGTATCCCAGGTGCTAACCAGAGCATCACTTACTGGTATGGGGAAACCTCCCTCCCATGGTGAAATTGAGGTCGGAGACATTTTAATAGTTAAATGTGCCTTAATTTCCAAAAGTACATAAATAACTGAAATCCATTAAGAATTTCCATATATTTATGACTTGAATAATGTATCTTTGTTTATAAATAGTAATTTGACAAGGCAATATTTGAAAATGCAAAAAATATTAATTATTCCATAAAAGTAATATAGTCACTAGTATTCCATAAAAGTAATATAGTCACTAAGACAGCATTACTATGCTGTCTTATCTTTACTAAGAAATTAAAACTAACAGAACAGTTGTGGCCCGGCTAGTGTCTGTTACTTTGGGTCGTATTTTCACTATTAAAAATTATCTTTCTTTTAATTGAAGCCTCTGATAATTCTCTTTTCCCCCCTTAGGGAATTGCTCCAAAGCTGGAATTTTCTACAACCTCAGTAATTACCGAATGTCTAATAAGTTCAAGGAAATGCCGCACTCAGGTCGAAATCTTTTATTTAAAGTATTTAATGTTTTAATTTATTTGTTCATAGTTTGAGCACCTGGCAAGCATTATTCTTTTATTTGGCTGCAGCTCCTCTTTCCTTTCAATCTTTATTTAAGTAAAACATTATCAGACATTTTAGTACCGGTGAGGTTGAGAAGCTTGCTGCACCTGATAGATGGGGCTGCGATTTTGTTTTTCAAACTGTATGGTTTTTTCTCTCTCTTCTTTTAATGCAAAACTGTCAGATTCTGGGTTTGAGAAATCCTATAGAAAACTAGATTGGAGAGTTCTATAAATTGTTGTAGGCTGCTGCAAAAATTTCAAAGGATACTCAGTCAAAGGGGACTCAGTGGTTCTCAGGCTAGGATATCGGTATTGTAGGAGGTATAAGTTCTTTGTCTCTAATTCCTTAATGAAGTGTTGCTCAGCTTGTTGGTTGTACTGTTACTGTCAGAACAAAGGAAGCTTAGGCATTTTGGTATAAGTACAATTTGTATTGTCAAAACTGCCTTTGGTAACCTGAGATCTGGGGACCTGACATGCATCTAACTCACTGGTTTCCCACGTGTCCAGAGGGTTTGCTGCCCTCCGCAGGTTCACTAGTAACCTGTAGGCATCACTTCCTTTATGACCAGGTAACAATGACCAGCCTGTGATTAAAGAGATAGTAAATATCCCAAAGGGCCAAAGCGAAGCAGGCCTGCACTTATCATGGAAAGAGTAAGAAGCTAATTTACTGCATTAATTCAGATTTAGAGCACATTTGCTGGTGGTGATAACTGTGACTTAAGGAAATAAAGATAAAACAGTTATAAAATTTTGTTTTCATTTTCTATTCCAGAGTTTGGCTGTAATTATTTTCTAAATGCATACTGAAGTACAGCTATTAGAATACTAGTGATATATGTTTGCCAAAAGCATAGCTGAAGCCAGTGGCTGTCACTAGGTTACTAGGTTGTTACTGACTGGTTTTTGAGATGAGCACTGTGCACATTTCTCAGTGGTTAAAAATGAACTACTGGTACACAAAGTTTTTCTCTCCACAGTGGTGTATACCCTTCTACTGTAAGGGTAGAAGTATTTTTTTCTTCTTTTTGTCTGAACTATAGCGATACACAAAAGTATGCATATTCTCAGTGTACAGCTTGGTGGGAGAGCTCCTCCTAGATGTGAAACTGTCACCCCATTTATTCCAGGGGCCTTACAGACTAACACTTTCTCTGTTCGACTTTGGCAAAATTCTTCCATTTCTGTTTTTAACTTTCGATTTTATTGTTTTTCATTTGTTTTTATTGAACAGAGATATGGAATTGGCTTTGGTGGCAAATTATTTAAAAAATATGAGTCAGACAAGCCTGAGTTCAGGTTCCACACTGAGATCTTATGCAACACACCTGACACACGATAATAATTAACGAACCCAGTGGCTGTTACTAGGTTATTACTATTTTTTAATTAAGATAACAGAGAGAGAAACCAATAGTTAAAATATTTAGCATCACCAGGTAATCACATAGAGATACTGAAACTAAATGTTAACAGCCAGAATTTTAATCTTATTTGAGAATGTCATAAATCTACTTTGTTTCCAAGTGATTAGTTATGATCAAAAGTTTAATGGTTATAAGGTAGCAGTTTCAGTTTGAAATGTAAGAATAAGATAATACAATCACGGTGGTTTTTAAGGGGTAAGAAAGTGAAATAAGCTATAAAATTATTTAAGCTTACAAATGCTCATAATGGTCCTTATTCCGTTTGGCACATTATTCTCATATTGGATGTTTTTTCAACTATTGAAAAGACGGAAAATAGTAAATGAAATTTAAGTGAATGTCTGGGATCAAGCTAGTTTTCTTATTCCTTTACTTACCCTTGCAAGATAGAACTTATTAAATAATTAAAAGCTTTATTGATATACATTTATTAATCTGCTACAGGTGATAGGTAGTTTTGAGGCAAAACAAGCTTTAAAAATGGCATTATGGCTTAAAACCAAATGTTTTGCACAGATGGGTGGGTTGGCTGAGTGATTCTTTTGTTCTGAACTGGCCACGGTAGTACTGAATGACCCAGGTTGACCCACCTAGTGTCTGGCAGTTGGCCAGTGTTTGGTAATTGACAATTTCAGCTGTCAGAGTGGCCACAAGACCCATCATCTAGCAGGTTAACTTCCGCCCATTTTCATGGTAGCAGGAAGGTTTTCAGGAGTAAGGAAGATGCACATTGTTAAATCTCTCCTCTTGGTACATGCTACTGTCCTGTCAGTCAACAGTGGGATCCATTTTGTGACTAACATAAAGAGAGTCATTATTTAAAGATTTGTTAGCATACTACTATGACATAGTATGGATTGAGTAGAGATTGATACCAGGTGGCTATAGTCACTACAACACCATTTATAACTCCCTCTGGTACTGTTCAACATTCAAAACTAACGGAGACAGGAGACCACATTCATTACTTTAGATTTGGTATCAGCAGAAGTGGGTATGACGGAACTTTACAGCATTGCTGCAAATAGATGTTTATGGGTTCATCTGGGTCTGGAAGTAAGCAGTGTTAAAAATGTATGGAGATCTGGGGAAAACAGATCTAGACACAGTAGAAGTGTGAAAGGGCAGGTAACAGATTCAGTAAGAATGAAAGACATAGGTCAAAAGATGTTCTGCTAAACAAGAGATTTTCTCATTTGGGGGTACAATGAATCTGCATAATGTTGAAGTTTAAGATAAAGTAGAAAAAAAATAATTAAAGTTGAGAAAATAGAAAGTCTGATTCCAAAACCAAGGAAAGGTTTCCTTAAACATTTTATTAAACTTCAAAGGTTCTTTCCTGTGCTAACATTCCTGCCTCTGTGAACCAGTGTGATGTCATAAAGATGGATTTAAGTGGGACAAAATTCTGAATATTTGAAGTCATTGTACAAGGTGGGAAAAGAACCAGGAGTATATAAGAGCTGTAGAGGAAAGAAAAATTATGAAATAATTAGATGTTACTACTCTGTCAGAAACTCAGAGTCTTAATTTTCTGGTTATCTGCTTTGAAGAAATATTTGCCCTTCTTTCTACTTCAAATCTGTGTTTTAATTGCTTCAAATCAGTACCCTTAGGATTTAGTCAAGAGGCTAAGAATGGAGAAAGGAAGTAGGATTGGTAGTTTTGTTAAAAGATTAAAGTTGGCTCTCCCTGGGGGTGCAGCGGGTTAAAGCACCACATTATGGAGCTCTCCAAAGCCATTACAGCATGCGTTCGATCCCCGACCAGGGAGCTGACCCACATGGTGTGGCAGACCTCTCCTGGCCCGCCTGCTGCTCCCATCAGCAGTGTACTTCATCAGTCTGCCTGTTCTGCTCTACACTGTCTCTGGTGAATCCTCTCACCCACCACACCTCTGGCCTGTACCCCTGTTCTGTAAGCATAAATAAGGTTAAAGTTAGGAAACATTCAAGGATTCTTAATTGTCTTTATTTTCTATTATTAGCAATTTTATAACTTTATATACTACATGAAGTGATACTAATATTTACTTGTAATCCAAATTCTAAGGCATTTATAAGGCAGTCTAAGTTAAATGCTAGCAATGTCAAAAATATTAGACATATCACTTTTTAAAAAATTTTAGACTATTAAGTGGTTTTGCTACAAAGAGTATTGAGTCCTTAAGATATCTAATAAGTCTTTTATGCATTTTTATTTCATAAAAGTAGGGATAGTCCCTCCCTGGTGGCGCAGCGGGTTAAAGCACAGCACTGAGAATCTAAAGCCGCTTCTGCATGAGTTCGATTCCCGCCTGCCCCGGAGGTGACCACATGGCGTGGCAGACCTCTACTGACCCGCCCGCTGCTCCCCTCAGCAGTGTACTTTGTCCATCTGCCTGTTCTGCTCCCCACTCTGTCTCTGGTGAAGCCTCTCGCCGCCCCTGAGCCTCTGGCCTGTACCCCAGTTCTGTATGCACAAATAAATTAAAAAAATCTTAAAAAAAATATATTTTAAAAAAAAAAGTAGGGATAAAAAATAGAGTATGATTATCTGTTATTGAGTTGGCAAAATTATAGTTTGAAAAAACCTTAAAAACCCCTATCACCTTGACTAATCCGAACAATAGACTCCCATGAAAATATGCATAAAATTTTCAGATTTTCAATTTTTCCTATGTACGTAATCATAGAAGTGTGAATCAGATGTATTTTAATACTTTTCATCCTAAATATTGTCTCATCAGCTTACTAGACATATGTGTATTTTTCATATTATCAAACAAAGCCCTCTTAAATTATGTAGCTTATTACTTGGGGGTACTTAATTGTAATTGATAAATCACTGTTTGCAATAAATAAGATTAAGTAGACTGAAAACCATTTCTGACCTTGTTTCTTATATTTTTCAAATTATTATTAAATATTAGACTAATTTCCATAAAAAAATAAGTTGGACTTGAAAAGTTTTGTGTAGTATACTTGTTTAACTATCACACCAAGAGCCATCTATGAAAATATGGGTTTGAATTCCCCCTGGGACTTACACAGATAAGAAAGAATATTCTTATTGGCTTTGTTGATAGATTCTATGTACCTTTTTCTGCCCAAGGTAATTTTTATTTTTATGTTTAGGATAAATTTATTTACCACATGGCTCCAATTGAAAAACCACACTGCAGACTGCAAAGCAGAACATCAAGAACTCAAAAGAAAAAGTCCAAGTCACCTGAAAGAAATAAGTATTGCATAAATGCAAAAAACTATGAGCAACCTACAATTTCTTCAAAATCACACTCTCCATCTCCCTACACAAAAAGACGCATGTGTGAACTATCGGAGGATACTAGGCGGCGGCTGGCGCATTTAAACCTGGGACCCTATGAATTCAAAAAGGAAACAGATAAACCTCCGTTTGTGATTAGACATGTATGTATTATATTCTCTTAAACATTTCCATCTTAAATTGACCTAATTTGTTCTTCACTAAAATACTGAGATTTCTCAACTTTTAGTTTATGTAATTGTCTTGCCTCAACTTTCACTTAGCAATCTAAAGTGGAGAGCATTCTTTTTTTAGTCTTTAAACTTGATACAGATCAAGGTCCATTATGAATACTTTGTTAAATCCTGTAAGGACCCATTCCATCCCTTTCTTTCACAGTAGATAGCATAATAACTATAAATTGAACTTAATTATAATGACATGAGTACTAAAATGCAGAGGACGGTTTTTAAGAGGGCCAAGATTTCTATATGAAAAGAAAGATTCCTTTTTTCCCACACTTTTTGAAGATTGTAATGGAAATTTCCGTTTTCTTTGAAATTATGTCCCTTGGGTAAATCTTAATATGATGGATCTTTGAAGCAGCTCATTAATTGATGGGAATGGGAAGGCTTTTGAAAGGGGAGAGAGTTAAGGATTGCCTGATTCTTCTCTTTCTGTACAGATACCGGCTTTTGATATGGTTTAAGTTTAGTGTTTCTGTCCAAGGTGATAATCAAATAGATTCTAATTTTAAGGCCTATGATCAGAATTTTCAGTGTAAAACTTTTTCAAAATCTCTATGGTCATTTGATTTTCTTATATATAAGTAAATTTTACCTTAAAAGCAAAAGTGTGCAAATCAATGATATTATTAATAAATATGTTTAATAATACTAAACTTTAAGTTTCAAGTTCCTTTATAGGCAAAACAACTTGGTATGTCAATAAATCTAGTTCTGATTTATGTCTCTATTATTTTGAAAGTCTAAAATGTAAACATAAATGTAAACGTGTAACTATATCTCTGAGTCTAAAGCACTCTGCACACATACCATCTGAATGTTCAGAATTATTAGTTTGCTATATTTTAAAATAATGTAGCTGTGCCTTAAGAAACATCCTAGCCCACTGTTTGACCTTGCAAGTCATTTATTCCTTTAACCTTAATTAGTAGTTTTTAAATTGTAACAGGAAATTTATGATGTAATAGGTAATTTTAAATGGTAATATTTTATTAAGATTATTGTGACTACATTTACCTTATTTCTACATGTTTTCTTTGTTGGTTCTGGTTACTTTTTTGTTTCTAATCTTATGGCAGTTTCAGATATCCTTACAATTTTATGCCTGCCCACAATAAAAAAAGAAAGGCTGTACTAAATTCTAATCTGAAAGAGTAATAGCATTTTAACTAGTGTCTATTTATAAATATAGGTGGGAATACTTAGGGGGAGTTAGCTACATAAAATTGTTTAGGGAAATAATTGCTCTTAACATGTTTATTGTATCTTTTTCACATCACTGATCAAAATAGATTAAAAAAGGAATAATTTTCAAGTCAATGTTCAAAATACACTGCTTGATAGAAACATTTTTGTTTAAATGATCCCGCTCTTAGTTTTCCAATGAACTGAAAAAAATGAATACTTCTAAGACTAAAGTTTAAAAAATTGCTAAAATCTGTTTTTTCCAATTGTGTTTGTAAGTGCCTTTCCCCCATAGTCATTTATGATTTTAAAAGCACTTCATATATTGGTGACTAACAAAATGTTAATTTGATACATACATTTGAAAAAAGTTAACCACTTATCAGAAAGGCATTCTAGGTTATAGCACATTCTATGAAAAGCAATCTTAGGGCATATTCCCAACTAGTCTGCATAACCATCCTAAAGGAGGTAAACGCAATTTTTTGTTTCATTTGTACAAAATAGTTTTTTTCCTCTATTGGCAATATACATGTAATACAAGACTTACTGTCTCAATCATTTAAAAATATTCAGTGGCATACGACACATTCATATGGTTGTGCAACTGTAGTTCCAGAACTTTCGTATCACCCCAATGGAAACCCTGTACATTCACTCCCTATCTCCCCTTTCCTTAGCCTCTGGCAACAACTAACCTATTTTCTATCTTGGTGGATTTTCCTAGTCTGCCATTTCTATGAACTCATACAACATTTAACCTTCTGTGCCTGACTTTTCTTATTTAGCAGTGTCCTTGAGTTTCAGCCACACAGCATATGTTGGTACTTGATTCTTGTAATTTTCCATTGTATGACCATATACAACATCTTGTTCATCTGCCCATCTGGTGGTTCTCCTTTTTGCAATGTGAATAGTGCTTCTAGGAACATTTGTACAGAAGTTTTAGTTTGCATACTAAAATACTGTTTAAATTCATTCATTGTTATCTATGGAATTATTGGACCATATGGTAATTCTGGGTTTAACCTGTTGAACTGCCAAACTTTTCCGTAGTGGTTGCTCCATCTTCCATTCCCACCAGCAATGTACAGTTTCTGTTTATTCACATTTCCACTAATAGTTATTTTTCATTTTGTTTTGTTTTCATTTCATTGTGGTGTTGCTGGTGGGTCTGAAATGGTGCCTCATTGTGATTTAGATTTGCAACTTGCTAGTGACTAATAATGCTGAGCACCTTCTCATGGGCTTGTTAGCCACTGGCTTATCTTCTTTGGAGAGTGTCTTTTCTAGCAAACGTAGGAAAGTATTTGACTAACCTCTGACTTTGGAATATGCCTGAACCTTGTAGGCACTACTATGTCAGCCTGATGATTGTGGTTATATACTTCCATTAATTTTATAGTGCTATGAGGCTGAAGAACATTTAAGCTAAGTTTTACTTTGGAATCCTCCCTACAGGTTGATCCCCCAAGTCCCAGGGCTGATACATTATATGGATCTTCTGGCAGAGACTGTGAAAGAGATGGATGGACCAGGATGCACAATGGTGAGCTGTACCATTCTCTCTCACCATCACGTTAGTTGCTTTGGTGTAGTCAAGCCTTTAATTGACTTTCACAAAGTCTTTAACTGATTAACAAAGCAGAATCTCTGCTGTATTAGTGGATAACATTGGTATAGTGCCACTTTGTACAATTTGTGGGATAACCACATAGGTATTCTTTAAAAATAATAGAGGTTGCAATGTAGCTAAACAGAGGCCAATATGCCTCTTCTTGTGCACAAGCAAAATTAACTATTATTTGATGTAAATCTCACTAGCTCATTACCTACTTCATGGAACTGACCCACAGATATTTTCTTGCTGTGGTCTGTACCTCGCTGTGGTGGAAGGATAGGCAACAGTGAGAGGCATTGTGGCCTGTGTGGTGGATATTCATTCAGTCAGACAAGTGGATTTTGGGCTCAGCAAAGGGGAAATGCAGACCTATGTGCATATGGGGGTCTGGGAGCTTTTATTCAGTCATGGAAAGTCTAACCCAGTAGTACAGACATCTCAGTTATTTACCTCCTCTCCTTGGGAGATGAGAAATTCTCAGTTTGGAGAAGAAGATCTGCTGCATCCCATGGGGAGAGTGACAAAGAGACAGGGACTTGAAAACAGGAGCTTTGGGCAGGTATGTGGCATCAATGTCTGATGTGGCAAAAGGGCGGAAGAGGCCGTATAGGGCTCTGCCTGGGTTTGGCATCTCAGAGACTGAGATCCTAAGACTCAAACTTCTACCTCCTCTACCCGTCACTAAGGTAAATAATATAAATAAATGAAATGAACGCTACAGCACCTCTACGGGAAAAACTAAATTAGGCAATACACATGTTTAGAAGACAAAGAACCTGGGGGGACACAAGATATAAAAGCATAAAGAGAAGAATTTTCAAAAGCAATCTGAAAGACAAAGAATTGGAGCCTTTATCAGGTGGAGATTTTAGAATAGCTATTGTGAAGTAACTCAATAAAGTCTGAGAATCTCAAACCCCCCAAAACAGCTTCAGGATCATAGAAAAGAAAAAAAAAAAATGTTCAAGAGCAAAAGGAGTACTTTATCAAAGAAATTGAAGCCATATACAAACCCAAAGCTGCTGAATGAAATGAGGACAAACATAGAAGGCACAGTAAATAGACTTAAGCTTGCGGAGGAAAGAACCAGTGAAATGGAAGACAAACTGTACAAATAATTTAAGTAGAAGAAAGAGAAATAAGAGTTAGGAAACATGAACTCTACAAAAATATTAGACTCCATTGGAAGAGAAAACAAAGGATGATAATATCCCAGAGGGAGAAATATATTTTCACCTGGCAGGCAGGTTATGGGTTTTGGACAAACAAGTATTTGCATATGTATTCTGCCATTTATTTATAATTTGCCATTCTTTAACAAATCATTTTTACTATACGGATAGTTTATTTATTAAATAATAAAATGTTACATATACATATTACCATGTCAAGTGCCTTAGCACAAGACATGGATTACAAATATCCGCTGTCACTGCAGTAATACTTACTATAAAAATTCATATTTTTGAAAAAATAATGTTCTTTAGGTTTATAGGTTTATAAGGTTATGCTTTCCATCTTCAGTCTAATCCTCATGTTTAGAAATGTTAAGTTCAATATGAAAATGATTTTTAATGAAATAAATTAATGTGGCATAATTAAGGATATTTGAATCACTGTCTTAGATATTGGTCAGGCGGTTCAGCAGACATTCACCAGCAGGCTTTAAGTTCATTTACTACACACTGAGAAAGGCAGAAAAGAAAACAAATGAGAGTGGAAAAACATAGTCATAACATGTAATGAACTTTTTAAACTGTAGCATGTAATCTTTTTTTTTAATGGTGAAATGTAACATTCTTGTCTGAGATCATGCAGAGTTGTGTTCATTTATTTTGCTCTTTTAGTACTAACAGGAAAATAGATGTGCTAATCAATAAGCCTTTTATACCCACAATAGGAGATTATGAGAAATTAGAAACAGATGGTATATTCTGCTTCCCCTCTCGGAAGAAATTTATGGAGGTGGAGAAAAAAACAACTTTTAAGAACAAGAAAATTTAAAAAAAAGCAATTTAAATATAGATGTTTCTTTGGAAGATGTCTTTGGAATACACTTAGGTGTCTGATTTCTCTTGGCAATTATTATATATTTGTCAACAGATCTGTTGTAGTTTCTAGTAACTTTTAATTGGAGGTGTCAGCGACTTATATAGAGAGGTACAGAGAAGTTATAATTTCAAATATTTTGACATAAGTTCAAATACAGAGAAGTAATGTACACATATTTCCCAATCACCTTTCACTCAGAATCTATAAATCTTAATATTTGCTTTTCTCTCTCTCTTTCTACCTCTTCTTCCTCCTGGCCTCCACCTGTTTTTATATTCATGTGTAAACTTGTAACTAAAACATTGCTATGAATTGAATTGTGTCCCTCCAGAATGTATAGAGATCCCTAACCCCCAATGTGATGGTAACTGGGCCTTTAGGAGGTCATTAGGTTAAAGAAAGTTAGAGTAGGACCTTCATGTTGCCTTATGAGAGATACCTGAGGGCTCACCTGATCTCTCTGCCCTTTGAGGAGAGTCAGAGTAGGCTGTATTTAGCCTAGAGTGTGGCCCTCACCAGCTATAGCACCCAGATCTTAAACTGCCAGTGTCCAGAACTACAAGAGATAAATGTCTGTTGTTTAAGCCTTTACGTCAGTGCTGTTTTGTTATGGTAGATTGATAGGATTTATCACATCTGATGCAGTTATCAAAGAAGAAAATCACCAGTGATATTAATAAGTTCATAAACCTAAAAGATTCTTACGTAGTGCCTTGCCTTCAGTTGCTGTAGCTCTCATTTAATTTGGATCAATCGCTTGGCCTGACTTTGTGTTAAATGACATTGATAATCTGAAGAGCACAGGCCATTCATTTGGTGAAGTCCCTCAATTTGGATTTGTTTAGTCTTCCCTCTTGTTTAGTGTTGATAATAATTTTTCCCCAGAATACAACAGAGCTGATGTGTAGATCTCAGCATCTTCTCGGGATAAGTGATGTTGCTTTGTCCTGATGATGTGAATTTGTTCATTTGATTATGACTGTGTCTGCTAGTTTACTACACCCTAAAGGTGCAATTTCTTCTCTTTGCAATTATGAAGAGATAGTTTGGAATATATCCTGTTACTTTCCAACTTTAAATCCTTTAGTGTACATGAATCATTCTTGCCTGACAAAATTTTATTACTGTGAGGTTTACCAAATAATGATTTTAAAAAAAATCCATTATTTGACTTTCTGCTACAAAGAATTTTCCTTCTCATTTTAATGCCTCTATCCTTTTGACTACATTGTTTTTTTCTTGGCTGGCAGTTGAGCAGCTGTGTTTTAGATTCCCATCAGTTATTTAGATATATATATGGGAATTTCTTATGATAGAATCTCTTAGACATGGTGAATTTTCACTTGTATCTATATTTTTTTTAAATATTTATTTATTCATATAGAACTGGGGTATAGGCCAGAGATGTGGAGGGTGAGAGGATTCACCAGAGACAGAGTGAGGAGCAGAACAGGCAGATCGATGAAGCACACTGCTGAGGGGAGCAGCGGGCGGGTCAGAAGAGGTCTGCCATGCCATGTGGTCACCTCCGGGGCAGGCGGGATCGAACACATGCGGAAGTGGCTTAAGCTTCTTAGTGCTGTGCTTTAACCCACGGCACCACCAGGGAGGGCCACTTGTATCTATATTTAATGGAAATTTTTCTTGAATATCTTGCCTAATAATTCTTAAAGACTTTATAGTATACATGACTGATTTTTCCCTCATAATAATCATGTAGGATGGATTTAATTACATTTGACCAGACATGTGACAGGGGCCTACAGAAGTGAAGTGACTCATGGGTGAGCTGTTCAGTAGCCTGTCAGTCTGTAGCCAGGTCTCCAAGCTGTCAGTTCCCTTTTTTTTCCACTGCTCTCCTACTTTCATGTAGGTGTGATTTTCTTTTCTTTTTGTAAAGATTTAGTTTTAGTTTTCTGTGCACATAAGAGTTGGGGTGTAGGATACAGGTGTGGGGGAGGGGAGGATTCGCCAGAGACAGAGTAGGGCACAGAACAGGCAGATGTTCTGAGGTACACTACTGAGAGAAGCAGCCAGCAAGACAGAAGAGGTCTGCTGCGCCATGTGGGTCAGCTTTCTGGTGCCATGTGGGTCAGCAACCTGGCTGAGGCTCGAAATCATGCCACCGTGGCTGCAGACAGCTTGTAGTGCTGAGACTTTAACCTCTGTGCCACCATGGAGGCCCTAGGTGTAATATTCTTTTACACTTTTAAAACACGTTTTATCCATCTAGAATTTCCATGATCTATTGCTCTAATTGAAATGTGTGCAGTACTTTTCGAAGAAGCAATGTGCAGTATATGGCCCTGCAAGAATGTTTAGAAGCTGTATCCAATAGTTGTATATTTTGGAGAGGAAATCAAGAGCATCACCTTCACCCCTTTTTATTTGCTTTAGCATTTAGGAAAGATGTTAGATTCTTGGCTCCCTTATAGCAAATCTTTTATTCTCTTCATATGAAGAATCTTTTATGAGTAATTTTCTAGATAGAACTGTAATCTTACATGAGCTTCTTCTAATCCTTTTGAATGGTTATTGTTAAGTAAAATAAATTGGAAATAGCATTCCAAATTCTAATGTCATTTCTTGAGTAGGTGGCAATAAATTATGATGTTTAACTTTTTCTGAATCTGAATAAAATAGCATGAAGTCTGGGTATACATTTACTAGAAAAATAGCTATTTTTTTCAGCTTTCATTTAAATAGGTACCTCTTTGTCTCATAAAGCAAGAATAATATCAGTTTATTTTACTTTCTCTATTCTATATCAAATATTTTAACAGCTCTGTACTATAATTCATATGCCATAAAATTTATGAATTTTAGTGTACAATTAAATAATTTGTAATAAATTTACACATTTGTGAAATTGCCCA